AGAGGCCACGCTTTTCTCTCCGAGGTCGTCGAAACTCTGCTTTCGGAATGCCACGTCATTCATCGGAAAACGACAGCATACCACCCGCAGACTAACGGGCTAACGGAACGGTTCAACCGCACGCTGGGTGATATGCTCTCAATGTACGTGGAATATGATCACAGCAACTGGGACCGTGTTCTCCCATACGTCACATTCGCATATAACACCGCAGTTCAAACCACCACGGGATTCTCACCTTTCTTTCTTCTTTATGGACGCGAGCCTTCCCATACAATCGACACCCTACTACCCTACCGTCCTGATGCTTCCGAGTGCCCACCTGTCTCTGATGCTTCTCGACAAGCCGAAGAGTGCCGCCAGCTCGCCCGTGCGTTCACCTCAGAAGAGCAGCAACGCCAGAAAGAACACCGTAGCACCACCCTTTCAGATCCCAGCTATTCCCCAGGGTCTCTTGTGTGGCTCGCCATTCCACACCAAACACCGGGACTCTCCTCGAAACTTGTCCCCCGGTACGAGGGGCCTTACACCGTTTTGGAGAAAACCTCTCCGGTTAATTTCCTAATTGAGCCAGTTTCCAGATCGGACGACATGCGCCGGCGCACACGTGACATCGTCCATGTTTCCCGACTGAAACCATACCATGAGCCTCTGCCTGAAACTTCTTAAGTCGCCAGGATGGCTCCTTTTTCAGCGGGGGTGATTGTGAAGAAGAAGATGTGTCTGCGGCGAGCAGCATCGCCAACGCCCGGCTCTCGGCTCATGCTTCGGCTCGCTGCTGTGCTGATCTCTGCTGGACGGTTCTTCACGCTGTCTTGCCGTTGTAGCAACAGCCGCTACGCAGCTGGGAGAGCTGTGCTCAAGGGTACAGAGGGAGTGGGTAGAAGGTTGAGTTTTACTGTGACGTCACTACTTCTCGCCATGCGCACGCATCACTGCCCAACGCGAAACTGCTAAACCTCGGCCAGTGTAGCTTACGCTACAGTAGATTGATTGATTGATTGATTTGTAGGGTTTAACGTTCTAAAACCACCATATGATTATGAGAGACATCGTAGAGGAGGACTCCGTGAATTTCGACCACCTGGGGTTTTTTACCGTGCACCCAAATCTGAGCACACGGGCCTACAACATTTCCGCCTCCATCGGAAATGCAGCCGCCGCAGCCCAGATTTGATCCCACGGCCTGCGGGTCAGCAGCCGGGGTACCTTAGCCACTAGTGCACTGCGGCGGTGCTACGCTACAATAGCTGCCTGAGAGAATGGCAACAGCATGCTCCGCGTGTCAACTCTCTTTGCTACGCACGACTGCAAGACTTGGCTGAATTGTTGAAGGCTGAAGTGCGATACTTTGTAGAAAGTGTTTTCCCACCAAGCCAAAGAGGTGTTTCATGACCCTTTTATCAAACGATGATGTCGTGGGATGACGTCATCACGACGTCACAAATCTTGGCGATCCGCGAGGTCATGTAACAATTGAGGTCAGGAACTTTTCGTAAGGTGACAACATACAATTAGTTAAGTAGCGCGTGATTGTAGATTGACTTTTATTGTATTGTTTTTTAAGCACCCGTGAGGTATCTCAAACATTACTGCCATTTATGTCGGCCTCGGATTCGTGCCAGGACGCGCGTGGCTTTCCGGACGTGTCGTGTTTGTCCTTCACTTGCCCTGAAGCTGTTTATGAAAAAAAAAGATGCCTTCTGCATCCTTAGTTCTGCTTATATAGAATAGAGTGGCGTAGCCCATGCCTCGCGAATCGGGCCGGCCGGCGCCAGCCGATCAACGTCATTATCAGCGCAATATCGGACCACTTCCTCACGTCGTCCGCTGTGTCACTCATGGCTGAAGAACACAAAATGTGCGCTCACGAGGCAAGGAAGCATAAGAACTTTCGTACCGGGCATGTACACAGGCAACAAAATAACTAAAATCACAATGTGGCCAGCGTCACTAGCAGCATTGCTACAATTAGCAAATGCGTTTTTATTTGAAATTATTTTTAATAGTTTGTTAGTCGCATACCCACTTTGTAGTGCTTTTTTTGTGAAAACCGCATAACGAGGATTCACAAAAAATCAATAGGGAACAAATTAGAATACTTTTCCGAAAATCAAACAGCGCCAGCTGAGCCTCCTCGCGGCAACTGTTGCAACCTTGTCATTGCCGTGTGACACTGGCCACAACTCCTTCTCCGTCGAACCCCCTCGGGGAGATTTACGTTGACGGTGTTCAATGGAGTTTGGTGGTGGCCGTGTGACAGGGGTATCAGTTTTGCTTAGATAGAATAGAGTGGTGTAGAAGCAGGTCGTCACCGTGGCATGTAACTGATTAAAAATAAATTTTCAGTAAAGTGGAGCAGTCCGGCCATTTACGGCAACGGCAGCCAATCGCGTGGTGGCTGGTGTACGTTGTAGCTTGATTTTCTCCATTCCTGATGTGCTGGTCACTCCGTGGTCCTAGTAAACAAGTAACCTTTTCCATGGAGCAAGAATTTCTTGAGGAGGCGAAAGTACGCTCCCTTGGACGTCCTGAAAAGGTCACGAAATCGGGTACTAATGCCAACACGCCAAAAGAGTCAGCTGTCGAGCTTCGGCGTAAACCGCATTCCTCCGTTATTTTCCTTCCTTCCTCCGTGACGATATCACGTCGCCCTCACGTGCTGGCGCAGCCTAGGAGTTTCTCATCCAAAAATATTTTTGCGCTATGCCTTTTTGCGTAAAAAGAGCTAGCGACTCCACCCCACCTTCACTTTTTTGTTAGCGATTCAGGCAGAGATAAATGTACCTTGCAATAACGTAGCACCGAGGAAGATAAAAAGGACGAGGAGGAATATACTTTACTGCACGTAAAAGTGGGGCAGCCAGGCTCAATGGGGACCAGATTAGGAACCAGTGGGCCACAACTCTGGCTCACGCCAGGCCACCGGCCTGGTCGGAATATACCGGACGTCCCACGCTTCTGGTGAGGCATCCGGCCACAAGAGTTCACTGCGGGGGCTGGTTGTGGATTGCTGTCATCCAAGTTAGCTGTGTCTAGACCACACATATATATCCAGAGAACACCTATAATATACCGATGAACTGCACATCTCACCACAAGCGCGATATGCGAGGCAGTGCGCGAACATCCGATGTAATTTAGATGTCCCACGGACACCTTCAAGTATTCAACGCAAAAACAGTGCGAAATAGGAATGACAGCGCCTGCAGGGCTTGTTCTTGTTGAACAACCTTAGTTTTTGATGATGATGATTCCACAGCCATGGCTCGTGCCCCTCTCAGGGGGATCGGCCAAGTATCGATGACTTAATTCAATGAGACTTTTTTAAATTCAATATCAAAGCCGCCCACCAGAAAAAAAGAAAACACACCCTAGGTAGATTGAAAGGAGTGTAATAATTGTTTGTCACTCGTTTAGATCAGACAATGCATTCATTACCGTGAATAGAAAGTAGCGTGGTTAAACAAAGCTTCTGTTTATGTTGAAATATTACTGCAGGAATAATAATCACGCAATAAAAACTTAATTCTTTTAGTTTCGTTGAAGTAATTGCAAACAGCATAAAAAACGTTCTCGTGGCTGAAGCCCAGATCGGAAGCCCTAAAGGAAAGTATATTTTCTTTTGTGAAGTTCAGCCCCAGGCTAGTGAATGGGATGACTAAAAGTCTTTTTCTGAGCAATTTGTAACGGCGACATGATAACAAATAGTGTTCTATTGTTTCTAATTCAGAACAAAAGTAATATAGCAGTGATATCGCCAGACCAGCCCTATGTGAATATAAATTCAAGGGGGGGGGGGCACGACATCTAAATCTGGTTATTATGCTTACAACTGTTTTGTAGGACACCAATGAATTTTCCACGGAAATCTTAAGTGAGTAGATTCTGGTGTTGACATTATTGCTTCCATAGCGTCTGCACGAAGCGAAAGTTTTCTGCATCTTGTCGCAGTCATAGGGGCCACTTCGGGAAGGACCGATAGTACTGGACCTTCCAATGCTGCTCGTGCTAGAGAGCCGACGATTTAATTTACTTCTAAGCCGCGATGACCAGGTATTCATACTAACTTCAGCAGCTGTAGCTGAGGAGGAACTAGCAGAAGAAGCGTCTTTAAGGCCATCAATTTTGTTGACGCCGTAATCGACGTACATACTGACAGGGAATCCGTGATTATGATCGCGTTATAGGCATTCAAAGGTAGCTTTCGCAGCGCTAGAACTATTGCCAACAGTTCAGCTTCAAAAACGGGGATGAAATCCGGTAGTCTTAATGAAAAAGGCCAGTCAAGCGAATGGGAGTTTATACCTACACCTGCCTTTTCATCCATTACTGAAGCAATTGTGGTTATCATATTTAACTCAGTGTATACGTTCTTCTTCTTCATCATCATCATCATCATCATCATCATCATCATCATCATCATCATCGTCATCATCATCATCATCATCACCATCATCATCATCAGCAGCAGCATCATCATAATCATAATCACCATCATCATCATCATCATCATCATCATCATCATCTTCTTCTTCTTCTTCTTCTTCTTCTTCTTCTTCTTCTTCTTCTTCTTCTTCTTGCCAGCTGCCTTCCGGAACACAAAATCTGAGCCTTGAGCTTTTTTTGACGTACTGCGTTGGAGTACCAGATATCAGTACTTTGTGTTTCGCTGTGTAATTAGCTACGTAGTAAGGAATCCATGACGCCCGGGTATTTCCTTGCGTGAGAAGTACGTCCAATTATTGCTGCGGTGACATAAGCGCCAACAAAAAAACTGCCACAAACCGAAACAACCAAAACAAAAACAACACATATAACTGTTTATTAATAAAAAATATGCGGTCATGTAATTAGCAAAAGCAATAGTTTTGTTTCAAATGTGCTCGAGCAATCATAAAAAAGTATAAATTTTGGTATTTCAGAAAATTTTGAAACTTTATTCAACGGCTGCAAACCTTGGTCGTCACGCATCCCAGAATTCCAAGCCAATGCAAATGGCCGCTTGACAAGCAGCAGGCCTCTATTTCCAGGCGCTGAACCGAGCGTTCGAGGGCGTGTATTTGTAGATGTGTTTACATTGCATTCCGGTGAAAGTGTTTCTAAAGTCGGCCGCAAGATGGTAAGCAAGACCCAAGTCAATGTTTTTGCCCCATTCAAATTCTAACTGCTTTACTGCTCGTGCGAGTTCGATCATTGCGTTAAACTATGGTTTACGACCGTCTGCTCCCCAGCAAGCTCGAGTTGCAATGCTTGTGATCCTGTTGAAAGAAATGAGCAACTTGACTTGTGTGTGACTGGCACATTGGGCGTTTGAGTACGCCATTCGCGCACTACACACATCGTACGCTCAATTGGCGTTTCGAAGCGATGTACGAGGAAAGCTAAAGTAAAACGGGGACGTTCTCGAGCGGCGTTTAGGTGTGGAACCGTGAAATGTGCTGCACAAAGAACAGCCGAGGTAGGGTAGGCCGGTATGTTGAGTCTCTCAGCAGGGGGCAACCTTGCCCTGCTGTAAACATTTTTTTTTTCTGTAAGCACCAACGTTATCGCCTAGCGCTTTCGGTAGTTTCATCGGTGTTGTGATCGACTATCTGAAATACTTAGTGCCATAAAATATAGCCGTATTGAATGTTCTTTGTTTCTGAGATTTCCTAAACCGGCTCGCTGCAATACACGCCTCGCAGTTTGTTTCGCGCTCTGTTTCCATTGATGTTACGAATTCTTAACGCCCTGTTATGGTCAAAATTAGAAGTAGCAGCTAGATGGCTCTCACGTCACGAAAACGCAATGGGTATATTCCATTGAACTAATGCGAAATCACTCGTCTCGCTTGAGTGTTTGAATCAGCCGTACTGCAACTGCGTATGCAGTGAAGTCTAGTTTGGACCTTCAATCACTGCTAACTAGTCGAGAGGTTGTATGCTTACACCTTACGTATGTTTACATACGTTATATCACTGTCTAGCTGTACTTGGGAAATTCGTGTCGTGAAACTACAGAAGGGGCAGCCATAAGTGTGCGCTGCGCTCTGCCTCAGCGCGTGCGAAGGTTTGTCGCAGCGCCCCATCCCCGTTAAGTCAATGTATGAAGCTGAATTTGCGCCCTTCCCCCGGGTCACAGCGCCGCCCCTCCCTGTATCTCAATGTGTGTGGCTGATTTGGCGCCCCATCCCTCTGAGGTGATCAGGGGGGGGGGGGGGGCGGAGGGCGCCTTTTACGCGCGCACACTTTTGAGTGCAGCCAAACATATGTCTGCATAAATTATCTTGCTATCCTGCTCTACATATGAAATTGTCATCAAACTACGAAAGAAGGGAAACACTGTTAGAGGAGCTCGAATCTTTGTTAGATACAGCCAATAAAACCAACTAGACAATCAACTAAGAAAATCATAACAGACATTTTACTTTTTTTAACTGTGATATGAAAAGTATGACCTAAATTGCAAGGAATCGAACAGACAAAAAGTGGCTTTTTTGTTTTTATCAGCAGTATCCGAACCCAGAATTTTCAAATTGCGCATCCTATGCTCCATCGATTGAGCTGCAGCAGAGAAGGATGCTGCCTCGTCCACTTTGTTAGGCAGTTATGTGTGATTAATCTCTGTGTTTGTCAGCCTGTGCCATTCGTAACCGCAGTGGTGAATGGGGAACGCACTTGTTACCAGAGGAGGCCACGTGGCACGTGATTGTTGAAACCAAAAGACAGCAAATTGAAACCCCCTGTTCATTTGTTTGCTTCGTTGTCTGTCGATTTCATTGGCCACGTTATGGCCGCTTTGCATATCTCAGCACATTAACCAGAAAAAAAAAGTTAGAATTTGTGCTTGCGACATGTTTTGCAATCATTCTTGCCATGTACGTAAAGAGAATGGAACTAGCTTCTTGGTCTATTAATGAAGAATGGAACTAGCTTCTTGGTCTATTAATGACTACTGTAATTTGTCACAAGAATTAACTCTTATTATACAGTGGAATGAATTTGCATGAAACAATGTCTTTTTTATTGCTTTCATATTATGCCATATTGCAATGTTGTATCTCACTATCATTGTAAAATTAGCAAAAGTATATCATCTCACACTTAATTTTATTGTTATTTTTTCTCTCTCTCTAATGTGGGAATCTGCCAAGGGTTAAATAGCGTGCTCCATTTCTCCCTTTCAGAGCTAAATAGGGTACATCATCCATTTCAAATTTGACTTGCCCTGCGGTGATGTCATTGCCAACAAGCGCATTATCGGAGTTTTCTGTGATGCATAGAATGGAATGCGATTGGAACGAGTGACCTGCCATTTGTTGACACGATGCTTTTTTTTTCCAGATGCAATTTATGCTGCTGTTCAGCCGACAGGGCAAGCTGCGGCTTCAGAAGTGGTACATGGCTCATCCAGACAAGTTGAAGAAGAAGATCACTCGTGAACTAGTCACAACCATTCTTGCCCGAAAGCCAAAGATGTGCTCCTTCTGGAGTGGAAGGACCTGAAAGTCGTCTATAAACGGTATGCACATTTTACGTCGCATTCGATGCTCGTGCAAGCTGCGTTTGCTTGTTATTGCATCTTTCTGATAGGTGCTTTTATACGTCCCACATGCAGGCATGTGCGAGCATAAATTGTAAGCGCCGCTTAAGCTCCTTAAAGGACCAGTAAAGAACCTCAGAATCCAAAATTTTTCATAAAGATTGTCACACTTATACAATGTGAACATGCTATCGGGAAAATTTTGGGAGTAAGTGCTGTAATAAGGAAATTACAGGGTACAAAACAACCAGCTTCAGCTGCTTTCGCTTTCTCGCTCGACCTTCCTACCCTTCTTGGCAGTGGTGAGGGGTAGGTGTAGCCCTGTGCCGTGACTACGCCCACTTCTACGGCATAGTACGACGTCAGCAATTACGTCATCGATGCACAGCCAGTGACCGAGCAAGGCTTCCTCCATGTCATAGCGGTGCAGGGAGGAAGTGCAGTGTGAGGGTACGATACATTAGCGAGGTAGGCAGCCTTCCCCTAGCGGTTAAGTCACGAGACGCCACTTTACCTCGGATGCTTTCGTTCTGGCAGTATCGCTTTGCCCTGGTAGTCTCAGCGCTCTATGAAAATGGCAGAGGGCTCTGCAGTAAAATGTAAGTGCGGACTGTGTGGCAAAAATGGCTGAAACTGCTTCAATGCAATGCCAAGATGCTGTTTCATTGTGCAAAGAACCAATCAACGAAAGTTCTGAGTTATGATGCCCATGGGCAAGATTACATCAATGTACGAGAAAGATAGGACAAGCGCTGGAGAGGGCTGCGAGAATTGTTTTTTTAAAGTGAGTGGCTTTGCGGCGCTGTCCTACCCTGAAATTTCGAGCAAGTGGTCCCCCCTCCCCCAGCGATGTTGAAATTACTGAGAAAGGGGGGGGGGGGCGCTATCTCGGAATGGCACCAAAATTCAAGATGGCAGCAAAATTTTTCCGGCAGAAAAAATCGCAGTCCGCTTGGATTCAAATTTCATTACAGTGAACTTTATTTCGACCCAGGATTTCTTGTAGCTTATAATCGCTTTCAAAGCCATTGAAAGACTCCTCCGAGTAAGTTGCAAAAAATAGGTCGCAGCATTCTGCTAGAAGTCTACCGCGGTCGTCTGGCACCACAGCTCCAACATCGGCCAGTCTGCTGTGAGAGTCCTTTTCCTTTGAGCCATCGAGCAGGTTAATAACGCCGCATTCCTTGAAGGACCATGCCACTGTCTCCTGAGGTACAGTGGCCCACGCCTCGGCAACAAAATTAAGCACAGGTTGCTATGACGGCTTCAAGTTTTTCTTTTCAGTATTCGGGCTTCCTCATGCATATACTGCTCCCACAAACGCCGCAAGTTGGATTTGTGCGGCTTATTCCAATACATGCCAGCAAGCTGCAGGATGCTCGTGCACCCCGCAGACACAAAAAGCACATTGGTGTCGTATTGCTCAAAGACACTTGTGGCAGCTGGTTTCCTATGGATGGGCACATAGTCCAACACTAGTAAGCATCGCATGTCGTCCCCAGACTCTCGACAACCATTCTTGCATTTTCTCCAATGTCATCTAGCCATTTTTCGTGATGGTGAGACGGCCATTAGCTACGAGTAGGAAAAAAGTTAGCGTTGTGGTAAAAGGAACTAGGCAAGAATGTGACCCTCGCCCTCATCAAAAAAATAAAACTATTCTCACCTGGTATGCGATGGCTCTCAAAGGCCCTGGCTAGAATTTTTTCACTTTGCTCCTTTTTGATAATGAAGGCTGGGAGCTTGTGGCCGGTGGCGCAAGCAGCTAGGCAAACTGTGAAGCATCGCCGGGCATATCCAGTGTTCGCAATCTGTATGGTGCTTGCGTCGACCACGTTCATCCTGTTGATGGGATTGCCTATTCGTACCTTCGTCTGATCCATGTTGGCCATGCTATATGCGCTGTCACAGCGAGTTCGTAGAAGACCAAAAGGCACTTGCTGCCTCGAAAAGTTCTTCAGGCGTCTTCTGGCTCTCGTTCGTAGTGCAGCGCACTTCAGTGCCAAACCACTGTTTATGTAATTACTGGAGGCTACGAAGTTTCCCAACTGCATGCTGTTGGCAATTTCGACGGCCTCTTCAGAAAGAATCTAGTTGCTGACGGCCCATCCTGCACTTCTTTCGCGTTCAAGGTGCACATCATTAGCTGCTGCACTAACACTTTCCATCATTCCTTCGTCCCATGCACATCCAACGACTGGAACCACGGAGGAAGAAAAAGAGAGGAGGGAGCATTATGTCGCACGAGTGAAGCTCACCTTGTTGGCCCAACATGTGATCGAAATGTCAGAGCTTGCGGTAGGTTTTAGTACTCTTGATGCTATTCCGCCTTTGAACCACCTGTGCGAGCTGGTCGGTATGCGCTGAAACAGTGCATTTCGATTAAAAGACACCAGGCGCCGTACTCCGAAGTATCGGCAAGTCTCGTTGCTGGCGTGATTTTGCGCAAAAGGTCACGTGTTGAGCCGACTTTGATGGCTTCAAAACGAGTTGGCTTGCCAAGGCTGCGTACATGACTCATGCTTCCTCCTGTGTTTTTCCTTCCTCCTTGACTAGAACCACCTTCACGCTGACATAGTTTCCATTTCAAATCATGACTTGTTTTCTTCTACCATACAAAATTTTTTACATTATGACACGTAAAATGTATATGTATATATATATATATATATATATATATATATATATATATATATATATATTAATGAGATATAACAGACAGTAATGCCAAGGAATGTACAGGGGAAGTTATTAGAACCAATGGAATGTAAATAAGAAGAAAGAAGAAAGAAAAGTGGATGAAAAAATTACCAGCTGTGAGCAGGAATCGAACCTACGACCTTCGAATAACGCGTTCGATGCGATATATATATTGTTTGTTAAAGGCTTTGATCATACTTACTCTTGTAATAAATTGTATTGCCTAACACAAAATCTTATGTGCTGTAAGTTTCATTATCTTGATGTTACTTTGTTCGCTTTATTTTATAGTTCATTTTGTGTATCCCATTCTCCTCTGTAAAGCTATGTGAGATTGAGGGTAAAATGAATCAAATGAAATGAATGTACTCGAAAAGCGCATCGTCCACGTGTTTTCTGAACACTGGTGTACTGTTACTGAGCGTTTGTCGAAGTTTTACCTTCCCGTAGTTAAGATGCAGCAAATTATCGAAATTCGTCTCCCATTACCGTATTCGCTTCCGGTCGAACTTGAAATGTCGAGATGTCTGGTGACTGTTCTGTCTGTTTTCTTGATGCCATCGAATAACCTTTGCCACTGTGTCGGACTGCATAGGCGTTGGTGACCTCTCACAGCAAACACAAAGCAACAAATGGCTGGCGCATTACATAGGCCAAAGGGCATTACATTAAGTTCGTATAGCCCAAAGGGCCAAAGGGCATTACATTAAATTCGTATATATCGGGCGTCACAAAAACAGTTTTTGGGCGATCTGATGGTGCCGTGGGGACCTGCCAATAACCGGACCGTAGGTCTAGTGATGAAAAGAATTCAGCGTCTTGCAAGCAGTCCAGGGACATCATCGATGCGCGGCAAAGGGTATACGTCTTGAACCTTAACTTTGTTTAAACTGGTGGTAATCTACACAGAAGCGAATCGAGCAGTCTTTTTTTTTTTTCAAGCACCACAGGTGAAGACCAGGGACTGCTGGATGGCCGAATGACGCCAGGTTGTAGCATGTCGGCCACTTGCTCGGTGATCACACGACGCTCAACAGGAGATACACGGTAGGGACACTGCTGCAGAGGCGCTAGGGAGCCCGTGTTAATGTGATGGACAACGGTGTGCGTTTGGCCTAAGGACGTCTGCTGGCAATCGAACGAGCCGCGAAATTGGTGAAGAAGTTCTAGAAGCTTCTCACAGTGTGGTTCTTCAAGTTCGCCATCAATTGAGGGGCCATACAATTTAATGTTTGCGTGAACAGGCGAACGGGCAGATGGCGTCAGTGCATTAAGCTGCAAATCACTTTCACCGTCAAGGCCAAAGATGGAGGAAACATCTAAGTCTTGGAATGTTCCAATACATTTTCCACGACGCAAGGTTGTAGGACATGGCAAGGGATTCGTGACAAACAAATTGGTAGTGCCCGCCGAAATATCTAGGACAGCAAATGGCAACGCGAGGCTCCTGTGAAGTTCGAATGTTTGGGAAGGCGTAAAGAACACTGCATACTTAAACACATTGGCACAAGACACGGGAACAAAGGCGGCGCTGGTCGGTGGTATGTTGATGCCATCGGCGACAAACAGCTTGTTCAATGCAAGTTCTGGAGACGAGGCACACAACACAGAAAAGGCCATTTTAGCATGAGCACAGTCGATAATCGCATGATAAAGAGACAGAAAATCCCAGCCGAGGATCACATCATGAGCTTAGGTGAGAACGCGGGCGGTACAGGCCCGCGTTCTCATCTGATGGTCGAATATAGTGAGCACTGGCAGTACGGAGGGACAATCCGTTAGGCCTCGGTGTAACCTTCCGAAGCAGGCAGCAAAGTTTTAAATCAAATACTGACACGGCAGCACCAGTGTCCACAAGCGCAAGGGTACGGTAACCATCCACAAAAACGTCAATGAGGTTTGTCGGAGAAATGCGAGGACTTGATTCATTCGATGACGACGCAGTTTGTGCCTCAAGAACAGTGGCATCTAGTTTTTTGCGTGTGAAGGGCAGGGTCGGCGGTGCATAGGTGACAGGGAGCTACGCCGGGGAGATGGAGATCGGTGACTGACTGAGGGGGGGGGGGGGGTGAAGAAGATCCTTGTTGACGTGCTGTGTCGTTAAAGCGCCGAGAGTCGTGCGATGATCTTTGCATGGTGTCGCTGTGAATGAGAGGGCGGCGGCGGCGGCAGAGGTGAGCCACATGTCCTGCATATACGCAAGAATAGCAAAACTGGCAAATAGAAAATTGTCTGCAGTGTGCCGCAGATTTGGAAACACTGCGAGTGGTTGGCTGAACGGAGCCGGTGATGACTGAACAGTGACCGGTGAGGTAGCATAAGTGGGCTGTCGAGGTGCTCTGGCTGCAACGACTTGCGCGTACGTCAAGGGTGCTTCCTCTAGAGGTGATGAACGAGCGAAAGGCGAAGCGTCTGCTAGCTCATCTTGTATGACGTGCTTTATGGCCGAGGCGAGATGATCTGGGGCCAGAGGATGCGTTTGTGCTGGTTCGGGCATGCTCGATAAAATGGACAGCTGCCGAGTGACCGCCTCACGCACGAACTATTTTATGCGAACCAACATGTCATTCTGGTCTCCGAGAGTCAAGGCCGCGATCGAGTCACGCCGTTCCAGAGTGTGCCGTGTTTGGGCACGTTCCTTGCGCAATTCGTTAAAACTCTGGCACAAGCTGACGAGATCAGTTGTCGTTTGTGGGTCCTTGGCTAACAACATTTGAGATGCATCATGGGATATGCCCTTAAGGATTTGTTTAATTTTGTCGGCTTCGAGCATCGCTGGGTTTACCCGCTTGCACAAGTCAACAACATCTTCAATGTAACTGGTAAAGGTCTCTCCTGGCTGTTGAGTGCGCTCATGAAGTCGTTGTTCTGCGCGGAGTTTTTGCACAGAAGGGCGGTCGAAGACTTGCAAAAAGGCGGTCTTGAACGAATCGTAGCTGGAAATGCCGGCTTCGTGGTTGCGCAACCAGAGACTAGTGATGCTGGACATGTACAAGCTCACATAGGTCAGCTTAGTCGCATCGTCCCACTTGTTCGCTGCACTCACCTTGTGGTAAGTAGCCAGGCACTCCTCAACGCCTTCGCCGTTAGTGCCGCTGAAGATCATTGGGTGACGCAGTGGCTACACGCCGAGACATGCAGAGGCCATAACTTTGGAGGTACCTTGGGTGGAGCGTTCTTTAGGCATTGTTGGCACTGGAGGTAAGGCGGGACTCCGAAGTTCCAGCTTCGAAGACTACGTGTCCCACACTTCCAACAATTTACAAGGGGGTTTATTGATTAAAACCAACCGCCTGGTTTTAGGGGCGTCAGTCACTGTCACAGGCTCAGCTCTTTGTCGTACTCGTCTTCTAGCTGCTCTGACTAGATACCGTCTCTCTCTTGACCCTGCTACAAGGGAAGCATTTAAATATTCAGAGGAGGTGGGGTTGAGAGGGTGCATTGCAAGGCCTACAAGCATTGCGATGCTGTGAACTGGGTGGATGTGCACGAAAGTGGGATGGTGTGGCGCTTCATTAGCGCTGGCTTACTCTGCTAAAATATTCCTTTAAGCTTTTCACTTATTTGCTGCGTAATCCACAAATTGTGGTCATCAATTCGGCAGTCTTTATATTGACTTGAGTTACATGCAGTGTGTCAGAGTTTTGGTCATGCTGTGGTAACAGCCGTACTGCCACTCCCTGCTGCTTGTCATTTCTGACCCTATTGTGGTGCTTTTATTTCTCCATGCAGGTATGCCAGTCTGTATTTCTGTTGTGCTGTGGAACAGGTGGACAACGAGCTGCTGACTCTTGAAGTAATTCACCGATATGTGGAGCTGCTGGACAAGTACTTTGGAAGTGTAAGTTGTGTCTCATGTTACGGCTAGGTGGGCTCCTTCCTTTCTTATTGAGCATTAGTCGTGATGGCAGGACCAGTATTGTGGAAGCTTGTTCGTGTGTGACCTCATTGACTAGAATTGTTTCACTGCCACAACAGCTCGTATGCTTCTGTTGCGCTAAAACAAACTGCATTTTGGGTAGCTTGTTGATCCAAGTGGAAGGAAGTTTCGCTGCTTTGAATCATTGTGGGTGCAGCTTTCTTGCTGGCCAGTAGGATTAGTTAGTTCATAGTTTTGATTGGCTAGCTGAAGAGGCACATTACAAGAGCTGGCACAGGAAGGTAGCCTGTAACACTTTCTGAACATAGTCAGAAAACAATGCCAATCAGCACTTACTCAAGTCTCCTGTGAACAGGTGAGCCAAATATAGCCCCCTGAACGCAACAAGGAATATTCAGTTTTGTATAAGTGCCAACAAGAAATCGCTCGCTCTCCTCTCATCAAACTGCATAACCAAATTGATCGACTGCATAGGAGGGAAGGGCGCCACCATTTTCTGGTTTCATGATTGCGAAAACACTTTCTGTAATACTTATTTTGGTTATGTTTAGTTCAAATAATCAAAAATGTGTGTGTCTCGTTAGAAACTATGAGAAAGTATGTTATATTTGTACTTGGGTCTTGATCAAGAGTCGTCTGCTTAATAAAACTAAGTTGGCTTGATATTTGGCTATACACAAATTTCTTTGCCTGTAGTGGAATTTCGGGTATGAACTGTAGTGCGGGCACCTTATTGAAAATGCTTGATAAGCCTATTAATGTGGCAAAGGCACTATGGCCATTATGGAGTGGCTGTGACGAATTTTCGTGGCAGAAGATTCGTTAAACAGCTAACGCCCTAAAGTGTGGTCATATGATAGTTACTTGAAGAGTTACCTATTTGAGCCCTCCTTGAAGAGACTGAGGGCAAAGGGCTGCTGCCTCGTGCCCTGATATACAGTCACACTGAAAATAAGTCGTGCATTCGAAAGAAAGAGAAAAGGAAGTGTTTAAGGTTGTAATGTGCGCTAATGATGGGATGCATCTTCTTGCCTTCTTGTCATTCCCTTCCTCCCCCTCCCGCAATGCTTTGTGTAGGCTGGAGAGCGATGCAAATTTTTTACAGATGAACTTTATAGATTGCCCAGACTCTCCCAATAGGTTTTTCATTATTATTGGGAATATTGTGTGTGTGATGTCAATTAGAACAAAACAACTGAAGTGATGGAACAAAGCCGCCATCACTTTATTGTCTGCTGTCCACAAGGCAACGATGGTGTGGGTTCTTTGGCCAACGTCTCCTTGGTTCGGTGCGTGAATTTCAGTATGTTGTGGGCTCGCGTGCAATGGGTGGCAATTGGTGTTGCAGTGCGGTTGTGCACGATTCCTCGTATAATTACCTGAGCAGTCGCAAAACACTCGGACCGAACTGTTACCCTTTGTCTCGATAACAGAGTGCTTTTGCTAGCACTGCCATTTTAACACACGGAAATTGCGGTAACGCTGTATTAGCTGAAGAGTACCCATGCTTGAACATGTGCCAAGTGTGCACAACACCGCATGGTGACCGGGTCTAGTGCTTTATGTGGAAGGTGGGTCGTACCTGTTTTATATTAAATTGCTGTGGTTCTGCCAACACGATTTTAAGCGCCTTTAGGGCCGAACTTATGCGCTGTGCCCATAAAATAATAGAAGTTTTGATTAGTCTGCCAACTTCTCAGCAATAGAATTTTACCCAATTGCCGACTCCGCAAACTTGATCTGCATGCACAGGTAACATTATCTGACAGAATGATTTTAACAGAAAATAATGGACCTGTGTCTTAGCTATACAAACAAAAATGAATTTCCTAAGATTGTGTTGTGCCTGAAAAAAGAAAATGATTACGATAGAACACAGGTGAATGACCCTTCAGCCTACAGGAAAGGTAAACCCGTTTTCAAAACAGTTTACAGAAGACTGACCGTGTTGATTGTGCATTGTAGATTTAAGCTCTTCTTTCTTTACTATCGTGTCTACTACATCAAGCAGGGAGGTGTGGTGGGGTGAAGGATGGTGGTTGGGAGCCTACTGTGATTATGATAAGAAACTTGCTTAGTGCAGGTTCAGTAGGTGCACTGCGCAGTTGTTCTCATTTTTTTTCCTTGCCGTCACCCGTATGTGTAGGTGTGCGAGTTGGACATCATCTTCAACTTTGAGAAGGCCTACTTCATCCTTGACGAGCTGCTTGTCGGCGGCGAGATGCAGGAGACGAGCAAGAAGAATGTCCTGAAGGCCATCGCAGCGCAAGATTTACTTCAGGAGGTGAGCGCATCTTTCATCCTTACCCCTCACTTTTCTGTCTTTTTTTGCTATCTTAAGGTCTTTTGTGGTCGGTCCGAAAATATGATGCGCGATGGACAAAATCCTCCTGGCCTGGGTGTCGGCCTGCAGTAAATTAATGAGCTGTGTTAAGACGTCATGGAACATGCAATGTTGCCAGAGCCAGTGCTTCAACAAAATTTGACTGTCCCCTTGTTGAAACGTTGGCCCCAGGGACATAACATGTTCTATGACTTCATTGGTTCAAGCATCTATTTTACCATAAACTTCTCTTTTTTAGGCAATGTGTGGAACTGTGACATTGCGGGTGTGTTGAGGATGCAATAATAGACAGAGAAAATGCAGAATGCATTTTTATTCGCAATCATTCTTCCCTTAAAAGTCGAAAGTGCGCATTCTTCCCACTGGTAATCAGTAAACAGTTCCTATCTGATTTTTTGCAAACAGGTAGTGTCATGAAATTGCCCCTAACATTGGCCAATCCATACAGCATTTCTCTTTACAATGTCAAAATATAAGACACTTACTTGAATACTTTTCTTTATGATGTTGCTCTTCAGCTCTTGTTGAGGATTTGTGACATTCAAGGCTGTGAGGGAATTACGCGTTGCTACTTGTATGAAGCGCAGCTTTCACACATGACAAAATAGCCGCAAAGGTGCGAAATGATGCCGGAAGTAGGGAAGACTGTGGACGAAACACACAGACAAGTTCCTAGTATGTGTGCTGTCTTGCAATGTATCTATCATATTTACTCGCATAATCCTCGCACTTTCTTTCACGAAAAACCAATGAAAAGTACGGTGGTGAGAGAACTTTTCTCGAAAACGTACGGAACGGGGGGGAAAAAAAGAGAACAAACTGGGTGCAAATTGGTTTTCTCATGCTAACTACTACAAGATTTGAGAAGTACTTACCTTAACAATAAAACCCCAGGTTCAACACGAGACAAGATTTATTTGAGACACAAAAGCTGCAATCAAATAGTTTTTAGAATACTGTATGCAAAGCTTGGGGGCGTAGCGTTAGCATCTGTCAATGGGAGCCCACAAAAGGTTAGCATACGACATCAACGTTAAGCTGATGGCCATCTGACAAAGAATCATCCACAGTTACCATCTAACACAACAAAGTTTTACCAAACATCTCAATAATGGGCTTTTAGGTGCCCATGCTGCCGTTGCCAGTAGCGAACACAAAACTCGTCGTCTCAAAAGTACCTATTAGTAGCCCTGTTGCCGTTGTTTAGTACATGATCAATCATTTTCAACTTGGAAGCGGCCATGTAGCTTTCTTATCACCCCATAACATAACCACAGATGGGCACAACGTACACCATTCATGCCGCAACGCACACTTGCCACTTTATCTTGGCTTGGACGAGATTGGAGCTCTGTGCGTTGATAGTATGCATAATGCATAAGAGATGGTGCCAGGCTGTCATGTGCCATCATCAGCAGTTGGAAGGAGCAGACGACTTTATGGCTGCAGTTTTTCAAAATACAATACCAATCACTTGCGAAAAAAAAAAAAAAGAAATCTTATTTTTGTTAGGCAATGTGCGGGGTGCGAGAATTATGCAAGTGCGAAGATTATGCAAGTAAATATAGTACATCTAGCTGTAGACAATGCTCATGGAATGCTCATGTCATTTTACGGATTAATTCACATACTTTCTCTTCCACCATCTTCAGCTTTTGTCATGTCATATTACCGCAGTGTTGATGCAATTGCGTTAAAGAGCCTGTGTTACAGAAAATGTGGTGTCGGAAGCATTGTCAATGAGCAAGAAATCGCAGTGAATGCAAAGATAAAAATCGGGGTTCTAGCAGGGATGAAACCCAGGCATTTTGCATGGCAGACGAGTAATCTACTACGCAACCTCGTCAGGGCTTTAAACTGCTTCAGAAAATGACAAGCTTTGGCAATGCAGGAGTCGTGTTGGTCGAAAAGTCGCAGGAACACTATTACACGTGTGGTAAAAGCATAAAAATGGGACCAAGTATCAGGCTATGTGAAACGTATAAAACCCAGACCACATGCACAGGCTGGAACGTGTCACCACTCTATGCTCTGCGTCAGCATCAGTCGAAAAGGCCGGATGGCATGTTGACATTTTGAAGACGAGAGCTAGCACTCTGCTTTTTCGTTTCGTGTGCCAGTAACTACGATGGGGATTATGTGCGTCAGTGAGCTTGCACAAGCAGCACGCAAGCTTATGTCATTTCCAGAACAATGTTTCAATGTGAATGGGAACACGTTTCTCTGAGCAGCAAGCTCTGTGTGTTTTTAGATAGTCTGAATGCCGGCTGCATGAGAGTGTAACCGTCACAGTGAAGTTTTGCGCCGTTGTGGACAACTTGCAGCTCGGGAAGGAAATTTTCACACAGCCGGCATAATATGCCCAGGCATATGGCGGTTCGAAGTGCACGGTGGTTGAGCGAGCAGTCTTGCTCCACCCAGATCCTGAATCTCGGTGTGTACATTAATTTGAAGACTTCGTATATTCACCAAGGGCTCGTACAGAAACGGAATTCCACAACGTTGCCTCTTTGCTCAAAAATATGGCCAATAAAAGTGTGGCTTCATTAGCGACAAGGAAGCCGCAACAGCTCGCAAATACTGACTGCTCCACTAGTGAGCGCAGTAAGCCAGGCCAGGCGGACGCCTCTGCCGATGCCATTTCTGATCCACTGCGAGTTCATTGTACAGCACTTACTTCGGTCAGCTTGATTAGCATCTGTATTTTAATGTCGAGCATTAATATATTGTACGCAGATAGTTTTTTTTATGTCCTCGATGGGAAGAATAAAGGTGAAAGCGAACTGCTTCACTGAAACTGCCAGCGTCGCTCTTTACATGCGAAAAGGGCTCTTACGGGACTATAGATCTTGTTAGTGGTTTTAATACTGCGACTCGCTTTGTCGAAGTGACACCTTCTAGACGCGTGGCTTTACTTAATGAGGAATTATTTGGTGTCAGCAACAAACTGTAGCCAGTCTTCTGCATGCCCCCTGAGTCATGATGCAGGCAAGTGTTTCGGCTGCCTGTGCCATTACTGACGTGCAGCAACATCAAGCAGCTCGTGAAGCATGTAGCTGTGCGCCCTTTCTCTTTATAGGAACAAAACTTAAGGCCGAGTCTAAGCGCCGTGTGATGACTTGTTATGGTGCATTTGTGTGGTGAGGGCTTGATAACAGGGTGGATTAGCGGTTTCCCGTACATGGAAAGAGTAGCAGTTTCTTAGGCGGTTCAATATATATATATATATATATATATATATATATATATATATATATATATATATATACGGTATGAGCCGGGCGCCATGTTTTGGGGACAAAAGTAGAGGAAGAGGAAGTTACTTGGTTCCGCCTATGTTTGCCATCATCCCCCATAACTTCCTCTTCTTCTACCTTTGTCTCCAAAACATGGCCAGGCTCATACCGTATCAATATATATATATATATATATTGCTATTACCAAAGCACACTGCTTAAAAAAGTGCTTAATACCAATTGATAGAAGAAGAAATTTTCTTCGCACCATTGGTAGCACCAATATACATACTTGTTAAATATCATGATAAAAACTGTTTCTTCAATAATTTACTATGAAATTGCAAGAGACATGCAAAAACATTACTGCATCTTTATAAGATATCGACGGCACAACTCGAAGGCTGACAACTAACCGTCCTCTTGTGCAAAATAAATCTCGTAGTAACCAGCAAGTGATGCCAAACATGGCAGAGGAAAGTTTTAATCTTCAGAACGACATGACGAAGACCTTGAGACCAAGATCTTGTCATGATTGCATCATCATTTGCATTCCACATTCGCTGCTTTTTTTTGCTAGCCGAACCCTCCCTTTCTTTGCAAGTGACTGCTTTGCAGTTTGAATGTAGTTTATCAAACATAGCTTAAGCTCGCTGTTCTCTCTAGCCTCACATTAGAGTTTTTTGTGTCGCGCTGAAGTTCCTAACACTGTTTTTCTCCTGTCCTCCTTCCCAAGGATGAAGCCGTTGAAAACGCCCTCAAAGAGTTTGGACTCATATGAATGTGATGTGTTTTCTTTTTTTTAAACGATGACAACATCACTGTGGTCTATCTCATCTAGAGAGGGACATTCTAGCAGTCTGCTCTTCTGCCTTTTGTCTTTTATTTTTTTTCAACTTCCATCTCCTGGACTGCTTATCCTTCTTTTTCTTTAAATGTTTTTTTTTACAAGTGCTTTTTTCACAGACTGTGACATCTTTTGTGTACGGTTTTGTGACAAACTTAGCGCAAATGCGAAGAGACACTGTACCGAACAAATTTACTCCTGTGTACTCATTGCTGTTTATTTTTTTTATAGAAGCAAGATCTGTTTTGTGCACTCTCCTTTATTTTTTTTTTGGAGACCCGGTGGTTGTGTGATAAAGGAGAGACTATAAGGTCTCTTGCATTGATGGGTAGTGGCTGGGTTTTTGGCAGACCTCAAAGTTCTTGAACATCAGAATGCCATTTTAAAGGTCCCGAATATCCATTTTAATTGTAAAGTAATTGCTAAAGGTGTTTAAATTTTAGGTTTTTTCTATCTGGACAGTTCAGAAAACATGCTGGTGTAATACAGTTAACAGCACTCTGGTAGTTGAGTACATTTTTTCCTTTGTGAGGTAAAGAAAATTACAGGGGCAGGAGCCACATTAGGTAAAGATTGTTTTTCCAAGCAGTCAAATGTAATGTAGTTTTAGTTAAAGATATTCAAGGACTTTGAATGGGGCTTATTCTTATGAAGCAGTTCAACTGCTGTGAACTCTGCATACTGTCAGTCACTGCACACAAGTTGATGCAGGTGTATATGCCTGCTTTCTCACGAAATATACGCAATGTTGTTTCACTGGCTCTTCCCAAAGCCCTGGCAAATGCCTTACTCGCCCGGTGTTGTTCAGTATTGTGTGTTTTTGCACGTGGTAGTTTCCCTAATTTGTGTTGTGTCGTGGCTGTCTTCAGTGCATGAATGGGGGCGGCACCTCTGTGCTCGTCTCTGCTTTAGTGCAATTAACGCTCGCATATTCGTTTTTTTGAAATTC